GCAGGAATCTGAAATTATTATTACAACTTCTTGGGTTTTCCTCCGTATTTAACAGCTGCCAGAGAATTCATAAACTGAAATCTGCACCTTTTATATACTTAGTACTCTGGGTTTAAACCACAGAGGAACTAGCTCCGATTCAGTACCGAATTAACTACCAACTTTTTGACAAAGCCAGTACGTCTCACATTTGAATTGCTGATATTGAAAGAGGGCTGCAAAGCCAGCGAGTTGAAGGAGCCTTTACATTTACCAGACAGATAGGATCAGCCTTTTAAAATTGCCTTGTTTTTATCTTAAAATTTAACAGCAGGTCTCTGCTGTTAATTTTGTCACTGTATTAAAAGAAGTCTCAGGAACTCTTCATATCGGTGCCACGTAAAAAGAAGACATTAGGGACAGGGACGTGATTTATGATGGTATTTAAATACGGTATGGAAAGCACGATGGCAATTTAAGCAAGGAAACTGAGAGCAATGGGAATAGCAGCCTAATTCGCCCCGTCGGCGTTGGGGTCAGGCCCAGCATTCATCAAATCACTGGGAAAATGTCCCGGGCTTGTGACTGCCTGAGAAGACAAGTAAATCCCAGTGCCACTGAAGGCTAATTATGGGATATGAGTTTTATTTCTCAAAAAAAGAGTGATTGGGACAACTTTGTGTGCCATAGTTAATATGCCAAAGGTGGTGTAAAGTTACTACGATGAGAAGGTGCGTTAATAAGGACATATATCCAATCTGACATCCAGAGGTTATTTAATGTCATACTTTTATTTCACAAGATCCCGTTCCATTTTGGTAAACCAGCTTGTTAAAAACGTGCCCACGTGTCCCCGGGGCCATCGCAGCGCCTTAGGGCTCGTGCGAGTGCCAAAGCCTGCTCCCGGCTGCCTCCTCCTCCTCCTCGCCACGGCCGAGGGCCGACCCTGAGGCATCAGCTGAATCGTCAGCGGCTCAGACACGGTGGGGTTTCCGAGTAGCCTAACCGGGTGGGTTATGCATCTCTCTCAGTCACTTTTGAAAGTTTCAGAGATCTTTTTGCCTAAGGACAATAGTTAGGGTTTTTTTTTTACACTGATCAAATAGCTCTAATACTCTTTTAGACAAACCTGTATATAATTCATGACCAAGTCTAAAGTACTAGATAATACCGATTCAATGATAAAATAACTTTAAAACTTTCCATGTGATTTCAAGAAAGCTACTGCTCATGTTCGCGTCTGATTAAGCTCTACGGATCTGGTAATGTTAGGTTAATGGTTGGACTGGATGATCTTAAAGGTCTTTTCCAACCTCAACGATTCTATGATTCTGTGATGTCTTTTCCAACCTCAACGATTCTATGATTCTATGATCAAACTCTGCAATCTTTACCAAAACCAATGGCTATCAGTACTGATTTCCAGAGGAGTTTTGACCATGCAACGATTGCAGGAGCTGGCCTGATTAAAATTGCAGTCGGACAATGAGTTTCATCACATAATTTGCATAGGCTAATTACAAACCTGAAGTCTGTGATGTGAAATCCCCTCCCCATGCCGGTCCTGCTGGAGTTTGGACAATGGTTTCTCTTAGCCATCACCCACCTGCGCAAAGGATGTGCCGCTTCTTGGGGCTGCTAGTTAAAACTAATCCATATTTTGCAAATATAAATATTTTTGTGAAAAGATCACGAAACCTAGCAGCTAAACCAATATGCTAAACTGATGCTCATTTCTCCTCTCCAAGGCAGAGGGAAAGACGTGTTTCTCAGTAACATCTTTGCCATTTAAATCTATAGCAGGACCTCAAAAACATCTGGATACAGAAGAAACCCCGTAAAGACGCTGTCGTCCTCAGCACTGACGTAGACCCCGTTCCAGTCCCGTGCAACCTCCAGCCACACCTGATCACCCGCGCTCAGCTTCAGGATGGTCAGGAAGGAAGCCTGGTCGATCTCCTGGCCGTAGAGCGTCTCACGGGCTTTGGCCACCTTCCTGCTGCGGGCGACGAGGCTGACGCGGGCCGGACGCCCTCTCACCGTCAGGTGGTAGGCGAAGACGTACGCCCCGGGCACGCTGCAGTTGAATTTCCCGGTGGAAGGGTTGTAATCTTCTTGGTCGTTGTACAAGATCTTGTCAAATCTGATGGGGACGTTGGGCGGAGGGAAGGGCTTGGACAAGCCGGCGCTGAAGGCTGATCGCAGGAGCTTTGCGGTGTCCCCTCGGGCACCCTTCGCCCCACGGGAGCCTTTCTTTCCCGGGGCCCCTCGGCCCCCCTTGCTGCCGGTGACCCCCTTGGGCCCAGAAGGTCCCATCACACCGGTGGGCCCCAGGTCCCCTTTTTCACCCTTACTTCCTCTCTCACCCTTTTCTCCCTGTTTTCCGTCCACCCCCTGAATTCCCTCAACCCCCATCTCCCCTTTGCTCCCTTTTTCTCCCTTTGTCCCCCCTTCCCCTCTTTCTCCCTTCGCACCTCTCCCCCCCGGCTCCCCACAATACCCCTTCTCCCCTGTGTCTCCCTTTTCCCCTTTGTCACCCTGTCCTCCATCCGCTCCCGAGTCTCCAGCATCCCCCCTATCTCCCTTCTCTCCTTTGGTCCCGTTCTCACAAGTGTCCCCTTTGGACCCCTTTTGCCCCTTCAGTCCAGGGAAGCCGTAGTTGCCCTTATTGCCTTTTACTCCACTTTCACCTAGGAAAAGGGCAAAGTGGGGAGGAAAAAAAGATTAAAAGTATTGGGTTGCTTTGGAGATGGAGCGGCATCACCAACAGCAAAGGGAAAGGTCAGTGCAATATTCCTGGCTTTCCCAGCCCACGTTACGTACCTTGCAGCCCAGGTTTGCCTGGATAACCGGGGTTTCCACTTACTCCTCTCTCGCCTTGCTCCCCTTTGCCTCCTAGGACATTTCACCATTAATACACTGTTAGTGATGTTGTCTGCAGCACAGCAATCATTGCACACAAGATGACTGGTACCATTTTGCACGCGTCCCTCACTTCTTTAATAAAACAGAGACGAGCAATGTGTGTTTTCAAGAAATGCCTTCAGAAACCTCGGCTGAATCTCACAGCACAAAACACCATCACGCAGACAACTGCATCTCACCCAAATGCTGGATTTCTGACTCTAATCGGTGCCTCGCTGGGAGGTGGTTGCTGCTGTTTAATGGCAAGATGGAGAAGGTGACAGCTCTGCATTTCTCACTCCAGGATTGCTGAAAGTCTTGTTCAAGAAGTGAATCAAAGCCTAAGAGACCGCACTGACTGAACTGCGCAGCACGCTGCTGCTGGTACCCCAGTTATCAGCTTTGCTGTGTGTTTCTCTGCAACCAAAGGCAGCCACAGGATCCTACGAGTGGTGTGTGGCAGCAGCACAGAGCTGCTCCGAGCCTGAAATGAAGGGCAGGGTTTCCTTTCGGTTACTACTGATGGATAATAATTGCTCTCCATCTTAGCCGAAATCATTTTGCCCAAGATACTTGAATTGAAATGCAGCTTCTACACCTGCACGTAGCTTCCATGGTGGTTTTTTTCCTACTTATGTCCCTGACTCAAAACAAATTGGACTCAGTTTTTAAAATCCCATTCAGAACAAGGAGTTTTGATGGGATCTTTATGAGCAGCTGTTCCCATACTACCTGTGCATACGCTACCACCATCTGAGCACTAATGCCAGCTAAATCTCACAAGGTGTCAATCCATATCAGCATATTCTGTTTCCTTTGAAAAATATTTTTTCCTATAAGTTTGCGGTACTCAATGAGGACCACAGCATCTTTTTTTGAAAATGAGCAGTTAGTCTGCTTTACCTCTTTCTCCTTTAGAACCTTTTGGACCTTGAGGACCTGGAGTTCCCGGCGGACCTTGCAGACCAGCATCTCCCTTCTCCCCCTTGGGACCTGTAACATAATCACATCAAGAAAGTTATCTGAGAAACTCAAAGGTTTAAGTTTATAAAGAAAATTCACAGTAATAGCTAGGCAACATGGCATCGAGGGACGCATGTAAGGCAAGCTCTGTTTCCATCACAGCTGGCTGTTTGGCATCATACAACCAATGCAAAGAAGACATGAGACAGACGGGTTTGGCCTGAGTCCTGCTCCTCTATGCATTGCAGACACTGCAGCTGAAACCCTACAGCAGGGCGAAAGGCGAGGGGTGGTAGGGGCAACGCCACACTGCTCACGCTGAGATTAGTGGGGTCCGTGCTCGCGGGTCCCCTGGTCAGGCACACAGCTCCCCAACCTTTGCCTTTCAGCTACTGCAATCCCCAAATCTTACAGTTTTGCATTGCACTCATGGCTGTAGTTGAAGATTTTTTTAAAACCAACTTTCAGCTGCCCTTGAGCTGCCAGAGCTCAGACATTCATAAAACATCAGAAGTAATCTGTCTTTAATATTTGAGCGCATCTAAGGAGCTCCCACAGCTTCATAATTGCCCCTCTCCTTAAAAAGAGTTAAGTCTGCAAATATAAAAGTGGAACCTGGCAGACAGCTCCATACTGCATAAAGGATGGGTTGAAAGGCAAGCAAGGCTGGCTTCAATCTTTTTTTTACTTTTTCATCCACTTGGGAATCTAGAGAGTCCCAGTGCACATCTGGGAGCCGACTATGGCAGCTGCAGTCATCACAACACAACCCATTTGACACAAGGACTTTTCCATCAATGCTCAAGAGATGTATGCGTGCAAACTCCCTCTGCAGCCGCTACAATGTCCATTAGCCAATCCCTCCCAAGCTATGGGAAGTTAAAATCCCTCGAGTACATTGTATTAAAAGAAAATTATTTCATGATTTTACCACCTTGCCTCAGATGAATAGTTTCTATCTCCAATATTAGTGCTATTAAAGTGAACATTTGCAGACTAATGCACTATTCATTATAGTGGTATTAGTATTAGGCGCTCTACAGATATGTATTTTAGCAGTAGAAAAAAGAGACAAAGTATGTCTTATAAAATATTTAGGTCCTCTGTACAGAGCTGCCTCTTATGAGAGCAAATAATTATTTTAAAATTTGAACCCTAAATTATTTTTGGATTTAACTTCCTCTTTTCCAAGGGGGAAAAAAAAAATCCAAGAAAAAGAGGCTGTTATCATAAACCTTCAGCAAAGATACAAAACTGCTTGCAGGTAGTTTTGAGGGTCATAAAACCATGGTTGAAGTGAATGTGTAAGTAAATCTGTGAGCGCCAGGGGATGGGACACAGGGCCAGAGAATCAAAGAGCGGGGCCACGCGGGGCACCCGCCAGCAGCAACGTGGTACGGGGCCAGGTCTGCATGCGCTCCCACGCCGGTGTGGTCCCCACACTGAGTGCCGTGGGGAGGAAGCTCCTTTTTGGGGCTTTGCCACTCATATTGGTGTTTTATAACTTCTGGGATGTGACTGGCATGCGCTTCTTTGCTCTGGATTTACATGAGGTATAATCACATTCGGCATTTGCTGCGCAAGTCCTGCCGACTCATTTCTTGAGGGAAAAGCAGGAGACTCCTTGATATGGTTTATGCGCTTGAGCTGAGAGCAGCGAGACTGGCGTCACTGTACCTGGGGGTCCCTCCTCCCCCGGCTGCCCCCGGGGCCCCACGGCAGGCGGGCAGCAGTCGCAGCAGTTGAAGAAGAAATCAGCTGTGTCGAGCGTGTAGTTCTCTGAGGGAGGTGGGCCCTTGGGCCGCGGGGCTCAGGGTGGGCAACTCGGCTCTGCCCAGTGCTGCTGGGAACGGGCTTTTCCCCGCGAAAGGGGTGAGGGGCGTGTGAGAGGCACCGTCACCCGCCAGCTGTAAGGGCTTCGTCTTGGTGTACTTCACATCTGGGGTCACCTTCACTCCCGCGTGCACGGCGGCAACAACCAGCATCACAAATGCCGAGATGGGCCCTGGTGAGCTCCACATGTTTCGGCTCTGCCCAGTGCTGCTGGGAACGGGCTTTTCCCCGCGAAAGGGGTGAGGGGCGTGTGAGAGGCACCGTCACCCGCCAGCTGTAAGGGCTTCGTCTTGGTGTACTTCACATCTGGGGTCACCTTCACTCCCGCGTGCACGGCGGCAACAACCAGCATCACAAATGCCGAGATGGGCCCTGGTGAGCTCCACATGTTGGCAGCTGTAGGAAAATACGAACGCAAGGGTAGTCAAGCATTGGAACAGGCTGCCCGGAGAGGTGGGGGAGTCACCATCCCTGGAGGGGTTCAAAAAATGGGCAGAGGTGGCACTTTGGGACATGGTTTA